CTCAAAAATAGATTAAAAATAATAATTTAGCATAGAAAAAAAAAAAAAAAAAACCTGTAAAAGGCCATGTTCCAAGAGCAATCTCTCATTTTGTTCAGTATCCATTTTTTGATCTTCCCTTCTCTTTCTCTCTCCTCTTTTTATAGTACTATACTATAATTGCAATAATTATAATTAATTAAAAGGTATATTGTATATATTAATTTTCTCCATAATATTTAATTATAAAAACCGGCCCCACCAATGCCGCCGCCCCAACCCACCAAGAACCGTCATCAGCCACCGGACCCACCAATTGCGCCGCCTCCAACCATCGCCAAGGCCGTGGTTCGAACCACCTTCAACTGGGTATTGAGTATGTTTTAGATGGGTGGTTCGAAATAGCCGTGATTACTTTGATTTTGGGGGTATTGGTCCGATTAATGAATTAGGTAATGGCTAATTGGCTGTTACGATCCATGATACATAGTGAGTAGTGCTGACTAAGTCAACTTTCAGTAGAGTGCTGATGATGGTGATGGTGGGCCATAGTTGTAACTTGTAACGGAGGAGAAAGTGAGAGGTAAGAGAAATTGAATTTGATGACAACATTGACCATGAAATTGAATTTTGATGACAACATTGAAATTTATTTGGTGGGTAATTATTAAAGTGGTTTGGGTTAAGGGAATTTGAACTCAAACAATATAGGAAGAGCGGCCCAAACTACACTATGATGTTCAATGTTGGGGCTAGACTCGGAATAAAGGTTTTGGATAAATTAAGGACAAGGTTTAAATTAAGAAAAACTTACCATAACTTACTACTCAAATTAAGATTAGCAGGTGCTTGCTATATTCAAAATGGTGTAAAGACCTGTTTTGATTTACTGAATTGAGTTGAATTGAACTGAACTGTTTATGAGAGAAAGAAATTAGGAACTGAAATTAAGCTGAAGAGAATATGTCCTAGTCTATTAGCTAAAAATCAATTCCATTTTAAATTTAAGTACTCAAGTACCATGAGGTATGTCACACATGAAATTTCATGTTAATTTACAAGGATCATTTATTCATCTTACAAGGTTAATACTCTTAAGTGATTGATGTTGAAGTCATACCATAAGGAAAGGGGAAAATGTGAGAAACTGTAAGCTCTCATGGTGAGAAGGGGATGAAACCCTAACTTCAGACCATATGCATGTTGAAGAATGACTCGACAATCATTGGCAAGGGCTAGGTTAAAAGGAACTTGTCGCTAAAGATGTAATGAAATAAGTTACATAGTCCTACAATATTAATTTTTATAAAACATGTCTTTTGACTGATGGTCAATTAAGACTTTAAATCTTTCTAAGGATGTATGATATCCAACATCTACTTACAATAATTTATTCTACATAAGTTATAAAGTGCTTCACTATTTCCCTCCATCTTTTTCAAATACCATGTTGTAGAATTCACATTTTTAAGGAGAGATGTTGGGGGGGGGGGGGAATAAAATGGGACTCGTGCAATAAAATACTAAAGGAAAGAATCATTGGCCAAGAAAGTAAAGCTATGTTACAAAGGTTACAATTTGCAACTTCTTGAATAGGAATATGTTGCAATTGAAGAAAGAATGGAAGAAGCATGTGTCAATATCATGCTTGTACAGTAAAATCATTTGTTAATCGACAATAGATGGATTAATTGATTAGATTAGAACCAACTTTAGCAACAATAATCCCATATTCCTTACTTGTTATCACTAATCAAAGATTATATATATAATTACACCCACGGGACCATGGAAACTTCTTGCAACTGTAAAAGACAATTTCAAACTTCAGAACAAAAACAATATTTAATACTCTAATTAGTAGTAATTGTTCATTGCAAGGAATTCCAAGATAGTATCAAGTAAAAGGAATTCATCAAGCAAGGGTAACCAAAGGAATCTAATTCCCATAATCTCTCTTATTTGCTCAATTACTAGTTACTATAAATTAATTCCATAACTACTGTTGAAGCATAAGTCATATTTCATCATTGTTCTTGGCTGAATTTTGTGAAATCAAATAAAGTGTTTGTTTGATAAGGTTAACAAAAACCCAAAAATATGGCTTTGTCACACGTCCAAACCCTAGAGGAAATAGAAGAACATGTAATTAGCCCGGTTTTTGCTTCAAGATATGCCCATGAACCTCTTCCAAAGTAAGTATATACGTTACATTTGAACTTGTTACTTGTACTACTTTTCCTATATTGCATGATGTAGAAATGATAGAGAAAGATAAATATGCACCTAGATTAGAAGGATTACTCCTATGATACATAATTAATAGTCACATACTCGTGTTACTTTAGAGTCATGAAATATAGGGAATTAGAATAACGTGCATCTTGTTTTTTGTTTTGCAAGAATATTTTATAAGGGGGTTTGTTAGGTTGCGATTAATAATCAAGTGTTGCGGTTGGTTAATTGAAGGTATAGGATGCCAAAGAAGACTATACCAAAAGACGTGGCTTACCAAATAATACATGATGAGCTTATGCTAGACGGAAACCCACGGCTGAACTTGGCATCCTTTGTGACGACATGGATGGAACCTGAATGTGATAAGCTTATGTCTGAAGCCATCAACAAGAACTACGTTGACATGGACGAGTATCCTGTCAGCACTGAGCTCCAGGTCAACTTGCTGTCTTTTTTAGTGTTTAATACTTTTGTATTTTACGTCAATCTAACATAAAGAAGCATTCAACTTCCCTGAATCTCCAGAATAGGTGTGTCAATATGATAGCACGGTTGTTTCATGCACCATCAGTAAAAGGTGACCATGGAGTAGCAGTAGGAGTGGCAACAGTGGGATCATCCGAAGCAATAATGTTGGCTGGATTAGCTTTCAAGAAGAAATGGCAGAACAAGAGAAAGGCGGAAGGGAAGCCCTTTGACAGACCAAACATTGTTACTGGTGCCAACGTTCAGGTAAATTATTTCCCCTGTTTTCGATCCTGTTCCTACACTGTCTGGAAGAAATTTTACCAACTTTCTAGATCCCGCCCTTGCTATCTTGCAGGTATGCTGGGAGAAGTTTGCAAGGTACTTTGATGTGGAGCTGAAAGAGGTGAAGCTAACAGAAAAATGCTACGTTATGGACCCAGCAAAAGCTGTAGAATTGGTGGATGAGAATACAATATGTGTGGCTGCCATTCTAGGATCTACACTAAATGGCGAGTTTGAAGATGTCAAGCTTTTGAACGACCTTCTTGCTAAAAAAAACAAGAAAACAGGGTAAGTTTCTATTAAAGACTGAGAATATAGGTATCCAAGTTTAAGGTTCAAATCATACAGCCCCTACTATATGTCTGTAAGCAGCACATTGCTGGCCAAACTGTGACCGATCAAACATGACTCTGCCCAAGTATGCATGTACTAGGCTGGGATGCACTTTTTTGAACTGAATTGTAGCACAACCTGATGCGGCCAGAGCTGGCCAACCCTGTACTACCTTCTGTGCATTCTAAAAACCATACAGAAAACATTTTCTTTCTCCTCAGCTCCTTTCTTCTCCGCTAATCAACTCCTGAACATGCAGGTGGAACACTCCGATACATGTAGATGCAGCAAGTGGGGGATTTGTGGCTCCATTTGCATACCCAGATCTTAAATGGGACTTTAGGCTGCCATTGGTGAAGAGTATAAATGTGAGTGGCCATAAGTATGGCCTGGTTTATGCCGGAGTTGGGTGGGTTATCTGGAGGAGTAAAGCAGACCTCCCGGAAGAGCTTGTCTTCCACATCAACTACCTTGGCACTGATCAGCCTACATTCACCCTCAACTTCTCTAAAGGTAATGCACAAAACTTATACAACTCCATTTGCTCTCGTGGGAGAGGGGAAGGGGGTGGAAGAGAGGTAGATTTCTGCACTAATCTGAATCTCCTTACCTGACTCGCTGACATGCAGGGGCAAGTCAAATAGTGGCACAATATTATCAGTTCCTAAGGCTGGGATTTGAGGTATGTTTCTTCTAATCTTCCAGCCTGACACTAGTAAAATATGAATAAGATCTACTAGAAAGAACTATGAAGTATATACTAACAACAATCAGCAGCAGGAACTTGCACAAATTGCATAAATGAATATGACTGAAAGACTAAATGAGAAAATCAGAATCCCAAAGTAACACGTTTTGAACATATATGAGATCAAAAATAAATTAAGGCAATCTACAACCTGTTAAAAGCGAGAATAAAGTACACCTGAGAATAAAATAACCAAACAAGCCAGATACATTTTAACGCTAGGTCCAAAAACATAGAAGTATTAACTAACCTGACACTCCTTTTATCTACTGAGAGATGTATGTTTGATGGTTTAATATTTTTATCCGCATGAGTACATAAGTGTCTGACCATAGTTACTGCACAACTATGAAGATATATTTTTCCTATAACAACCTGATTCTTCTCTTAAATAGGGGTACAAGCATATCATTGAAAATTGCATAGAAAATGCGAAAACACTCCGAAAAGGATTGGAAAAAATGGGACGGTTTGACATTGTTTCAAAAGACCAAGGAATACCACTAGTGGCCTTTGCCTTTAAAGATGAGAGCAAAAGCCTTGCATTTGAACTTTCAAAAGCCCTAAGGCACCATGGATGGATTGTACCAGCATACACAATGCCTGCTGACATTGAGCATATAACAATCCTCCGAGTTGTGGTCAGGGAGGATTTTGGGAGGCAAATGGTGGATAAGCTACTCTCACACATAAAGCAGGCACTACCAGAGCTCACAGATACTGTTCCAAAGATAACTTTCACACTGGAAGTCAAACCAAGTGAAGGTGGTCATGATGCTGAAGAGGGCTCGTTACACATACCAGAAACCTCAGTCCATTGGAAGACAGACGAGCATAAAGTGGTTCATAAGGACGTAAAAGTGACAGGAGGAAAGACTAAGGGTGTCTGTTAGAATGTCTGAGTTCCAAGTAAATTCATGAGCAGTAAATTTATGGCTTCAATGTAATGTAATAAAAATAAAAAAATATATAATAAAGAGAACATTCATCTCTCTTAAAATTGGATTTTTCCATAGAAAGAGTATTTAATCAAACAAAAAATCTGTAATACTACAAATCTGTAACCTGTCTAATGTAGTAAAAGGAAAATAAGAGAAGAAAGATATCATCACCTTTTCTTCACATTCTCGTCTGTCTTGTGACTGGTTAATAGTTGAGATGAGTCAGCACTATTTTCAGAATTGCTATTTTCAATTACAGAAGATTCAACAGAAATATTTTTACTATATGTTCTGATCCTGAAAGAGATAAGAATGCTGGATATTATCCCAATAACTGGGAAAACGTATGACCAAATCTGAGATTTCTGAGAACCAGACGCTGAAGCAACAGCAGCACCAGCAAGACTTCCAATAGAAGTATTTTGTATAATCATCGGCATGCAGCCAATAATAGTAGGAAGCAAAAAATCCACAAAAAATCTGACCTTAGTAGCAGCCAGAGCATAATTGATGACATAAGAGGGGACAGGAGAAAACCGGGCAAGAAGGACAAATTTCCAACCATCTTGTTCTACGCCTTTGGAGAGTACATGAAAATGCTTGTTACTTTGCACCCAATGCATCGCAGAGCTTGAATTCTTGAAGATAAGCCTACAATTTTTATAAAATAAAATAATGTTACAAATCTATCAGCATTGATATTCAAAATGAGAATATGGTTCAAAATGTAACCATTACTACTTTCGGAAATTTGGAAATGAGTAATGTTCCGAAGCATCACAAATCATCTTTCGATCACTCTTTGTGTCCATTACTACTTTCTCGACACAAAGAGTAGGAATCTGAAAGCTTAAGTTGTTCATCCCCACCCTCCCACCCCCATGGCCCCCTGCACTTAATCCAACAGTTTAACACTTTCTAATAATAACTACTACTTGAAGATTTAAATTCTATGTGATAAGATCCTAAGCAACACCAAACACAACCACTAGCTTCAATTTCCACACAAAACCCAAAACGGAAAAGGGGAGCCACAAAGGGCATTATTATAGACGAGATTCAATCTCAAGTCTGACGCTACACTGAAGACTTAAAACAACTGAGCTAGTCTACATCCACACATAATCCAACAGTAGAAATCACAACAATATAACAGTAATACTGTACAAATGTACAATAAGACATCTCATCAACCAACAAAAACAATTCCAACATAGTTGCACATTTTACACCAATGCTACATAATCAATGCCAATAATTATCATTCTCCACAAATTCCATCATAACACTATCACATTAAACAACTACAATATCTCAAAATTCAATCTTCACATATAAATAAAACCCAACAATGGCAGAAAAACTAAATTTATAATTATAGAATAGAAGTTAAAAAAAAAAAAACAATTTTGAGGAAATTAAGAAATGGATACCTGCCAATCCAGAAGGAGAGAGAAGCAGCAAGAATCTTAGCAGAAAAAACACAAATAACAGCAGGAAGAAACCCAAAAAGAAGAGAAGCCCCAGCTTCAAAAAACACAGCAGAAGGCAAACAAAGAGACAATGTAAGAGTATGAACACCCACATAAGCTGGAATTGCCCAAATTCCCAATTGATCTGACAATTTCTTAAAAACCTCCATTAATCCATCTTTATCCCACCCATATTGCTTGTTTAATTCTCTTCCTACTACTATTGCTACTACTGCAACAATCCCCACTCCCCATTTTCTCAACCCCATTAGTTTTGATCTTCGATTCAACTTATTTTGGGTTGATTGATTTGAAGATTGTGATTTGTTGGATTGGTTAGATAAAATTATGAAAGATGGGTTTTTTTGGGAGTTCCAAGAAAAGGGGGTGTGAATGAAGAATTGATGAGCAAAAGCATGACAATATGACATTGATGATGAAAATTAGGAACGGGTTGTTTACGTCAAGAAGATGGGCCTTATGATTTGCCTTTGGGTTGTTTCATGCCCATTATGAAAATTGGTTCAAAGTGTGCTATATTGGTGGGGTTTGATGTTGTGGTCCAAATGTGTAGCATCCACAGTACGAGATAAGATTTTGATATCGTTGGAGTGGTATTATACTTCCTTTGTTTCATACTCGCCCCGTCTCATAATAATTGACGAAAAAAAATGACCATTGAGTTAACAGAGGAAGTATATTAGATTTGAGTGAGGAGTCTTTATATACGTATATTAGAATTCAGATTAGGCCCAATTTCTATTTAATCTGAACATCTAGTTTCAGATACATAAAAGTCATTAACGAATTGGAATTGCCAAAATTATTAGAAGACACCACCCATAAAATAAGTTCAGACCAGATTAGATCAGCAAAAATAAGTTCAGATCAGATCAGATCATCGTTTTATGTACAGTTTTTTTTTATCGCTAATTATCTTTAATTTCGTAATGAAAAAATTATGAAAATTACATATTAATAAAATACACATTATTACGAATCTAACAAGACCCCACTTGATATATTTTTTCCTTATAAATTATCGTTCACATAAGGTCAAAGTTTAGTCAAATTAAACAACCAGATCATATTAAATAAGTCCAGATAAGCAAAAATAAGGTGAACCAAACAAGCCCTAAATCTCTCATATTACTTGTCATTATTTTGTACTATTTCTTGTCAAAATAGAAGAAAAAAAAGTTGCTTATAGTGTGTAATTATTCTAATTTACTTATGCTTACATCTTTGTTATGACTAACGTGTGATTGAATAAGTCTTATGTCTCCTTTTTTGAATCACACATTGATGTTGTTATTCAACCCTCTCACAATCGACGAAGAGTCGAATAAGAGGTTTTATTTTTTATTAGTTGATCGTACCATTGCACCAAGTATAATTTACCATGGTTGTAGCCTTATAATAAGAGGTAAATTCTAGGTGATCGATCGAGAAGGGGTTGTGGTTAGTTGGAATGAAGGTTGCATTGGTGAAGGTAAGAATTAAGATAGATAGACAACATCATTCTATACGAAGTGCATATGCCATGCATACATATATCAAAAGTCAATGTGTTTTGTTTTTTTTTTTTTGTGAAAAAAGTAGTTAATTAGCATAAACCAACATTACAAAGTCTAATACAATCCTTTAAAGTTTAAATATAGGTTCACGTTAATCAAAGGTAATATTATACATTACACGGCTAAAATTTGGACTTTGTAGTTAATCGTAGTTTCTCAAGATAATACTGTACTAATTAAACTAATATAACATTTCAAAAAAAAAATTAAACTAATATAAAGTGGAATTTCAGTTTATTAACATGATACAAAAAATTAATAATTTGGAGCCCTGAACCACTTGTTAAACAGCGTGCTGGTTTTCTATTGGCCTTCTCCCATGGCATAATTTGCAAAAAAAAAAAAAAAAAAGGAAAAGTTACATATATACGCCTTTGTTGACTATTTGTCAACAAGTTCGTACAACACAAGTCAATTCAACTAATTGATCTTTGGCCCCTTGCCCCCTTAATATTACACACCTAATTTATTGAATCATTGTCATTCTTTATTTAAAGATTGTATGCTTGCATCGCATATAATTTATTTATACCTGTTAACTTATGCATTCAATCGTAAATAGATTATACGGAGTAATTAACTATTTAAGTATGGACGATTAATTCTGTATATACGTGTACAGTTTTAAAAGATGTATATATAATTTTTCTTAAAAAGTTGGGAAAGGTAAGGATATCTCTCTATTGTCCACCAAGCAAATATAATTGGCAGGGGTCAAACTTGAAAGTGAGTTTCCCACCAAGTTCACTAAGCTTGTTTGATAAAATGTACGAGTACTTTTTTTTTTTTTTTTTTTTTTGATAATTGTACGAGTACTTTGTATTTGGCTTTAGGAAAAAAAATTCAATCAAGTGATTTTTTATTACTATTTTTGGAACGTTCTAAATTAATGAGAATATTTTCCATTTTTTTTTTGAAAGAAATAACAAGGGAAAAAGTAGACATGCTACAAATTACTACTTGAAAATCAATAAAAAAAATTAAAAAAAAAAAAAAGAGAGAGAGAGAGAGAGAGAGAGGGGGGGTGTTGAACTTGTTTAGTACAATCAAGATCTCCAAAAGATGAGGAAATGTCTGACGTTGCAAAATTTGACAATTTGGTGGGATAAATCGAATTGAATTGACAAGAAAATTATAACACCATCCATTGACCAAGGCAAAAGACCAAAGGCTGTGTCAAACTTGGACTGAAACAAATTTTAATTGCCTTTATTACGGATTAATCAATAAAATTAATCTGGTATTAGTTAGTACTCCACACTATTTTTTGGTTACAAATTACTTGGTTCTCCAATTTTCATAAGTGGTCAAAAATCAAATCTTAAAAAACTTTAGAAGGACCATAATTACTTCAGGATGACATAATCTCTTACTGCTCATTCTTATTTTTACTGTTCATTTATTAAGGCGAAAAGTTGACAATAATAGCTACTCATCCTGACTTTTAGACCAAACGTTAGGAGTCGGTTTTTAATAGTTACATACTCCGATCCGTAATCATGAAAGAACTTTCGTAATTTCCCCTAGCAGATCTTTCAACTAACAAAAAGTTACACTATGAACATTCATTATTATTCATAGAATTACCAAATCCTTGAATTTTTACTTTCACTATATCAAAAAAGCAATACAACTTATTTCATGTGCTGCTTTTTCAGTGTGCTACTAGAAAGTAGAAACCATAACCAAGTTTCTAGGTTTAAATTTCATCTTTTATAAACGGTTTTCCTATTAATTAACAACAGAATAAAACTCTTTGTTAATCTTTATTCAAAGTATAGATTACTTCTTATCATGACACATAATATAACTACTGTAAATTGTGGATTTTCATAAAATGCAAGCTGTATAATTAATACAGCCATGCATACTACTGGTATTCTTGATTAAAGAATATGCTGACCATATTATTCCTAATCACGTATAATATTATTCCATGCAATTTCCAAATTTGCAGCTTCATTTTAAATTATTCTATATAATTGGACCAAAATTACAACGGATTAATTTTTGGACTGCAAAATAGGAATGGATTCGGCATAAATTCTCTGTATTAAACAGTTGAATCAGATTCTAATACTACACAGGAGCACATTCAACGACTCATGGGTTATACTAGTCTTTTTTTTTTTTTTTTTTTTTTTTTTATGAAGTATCTTGTTCTTTAGAGAAATAACTTAAACATGTGTTTAATAATGTTATTTACTATTGTCATATCATGCAAGCAATTGTACTGTTTTGACGTGTTTGCTTATCTGACCGACTGACTAGTTATTTTATGTTACAGATCGACTTATAAGGTGATAGATTGATTTGTGGATACTCGTTACTTTTTTGAAAGTGTAATGGAAGCCATTAAATAAGACTAGATATGAACGAATCTCGTCCATTTAACCTATGGATTTAATTTGTGTAGTTTAATTTTTATTTATCCTAATATCACTGAAAGTAATGGTGTATGTCGTGGTTGCATACTCACATCAACGATGAATACTTTCTTACAAAAAATTATACATAGTCCTTTTGGTGGTAGTCTACCAAGGAATGGATGTTAATTTATTTTTTTATTAATTGCTTGCATGACAAAACATTCCTTAAAACCAAATCTTGAAATTATAAATAATACGCTCATTAGTATCATACTTGCACTTTATGTTACCATCATCTCAAAATTTGACCAAATCAAAACAATCAAGAGAACAATTATACCTTCTTGGAAAGGAAGAAATCAAGAAAAAGAAAATCAAAACTTTTCCCTAATTACTAATGTCATAATATAATTAATTATATCATTATATAGCACTAACTACTAACTAATAACGTACATGTCCTTTTAGTTGATTTGGGCAAAGCACAATTATTATAAAATTAATAAAATAATATGGTCAAAATTTTTATTACATGTGGCTTCTCCTTATACTTGTCTTGTACAAAAAGCACTAAATAAAATTACTTAATTTAATTCCTTTTTGCTTTGTCTAGATTCCAAGACCTTATTCTATAGTAGTAGTAATAATACGCGGAAATTTGCAAACTTAATTTTCAAATATTTTTTTTATATTCCATAGAATAATAGAATAATATTTACTTATTCAAACCATTCCCTTCCCACCTAAATTATCATATATAAATACCCAAACACCCTCCTCATATTCCTCAATCAAAAAACTAAGCTTACCAAACACAACAGAAGAAAATTTAGCTACCATTATTTCTTCCTTCTCTTAAAAATTAATTCTATTTGCAAAATAACAAGCAATTCAACCATGGTACTTTCGCATGCTGTCTCGAATGGAGATGCTTATATTCAGTCTGCCTTCGCCTCACGACATCTCCAAGCTCCACTTCCAAGGTACGTATGTATGGAGATACTAGTATGTGTTGTTTGAAACTAACGTAGCTAGCTAGTTAGCTATGAGTTACATATATGGTTTTGATTTTGCGTGGGTTTTTTTTCATGTTCGTGTCGTGTCATGTCAGGTTCAATATGCCTGAAAATTCATTGCCAAAGGAGGCGGCGTACCAAATAATAAACGATGAGCTGATGCTAGACGGGAATCCACGGTTGAACTTGGCTTCATTTGTAACGACATGGATGGAACCAGAGTGTGATAAACTAATGATGGATGCCATTAACAAGAACTATGTTGACATGGATGAGTATCCTGTTACAACTGAGCTTCAGGTTATAATTTTAACTAGTACCAACTCTTTTTTTTTTTTTTTTTTTTTTTTGGTCTTTAATTTAGAAACACGTTTATGTAATGTTTTGATTTTTTGTTTTAGAAGGGTTGAAAATTCAATGGTTTGGGTCTGACCAACAAATCCTACTTTTCTTGGTCAACTGAAAACATAAACCATTTGAGAAATCAAATAAATACTCTTGTAGACCATAGAAAATATAGAAAGGATTGACCCTTTTCAACAACCAAAAAATAAAAAATAATGCACAAAATTAAATTTTTTTTTTTTTTTCTGTCTCCCTAAAAGACTGCACAGATCACTAATCCAATGGTCTAAGGACTAGAAAATTAAAATATTAAGATGGCTTACTATTATCAATTGTTTACAAAAAATTAACATAAATTTGTTTACATTACTGTAAGCAGAATAGGTGTGTGAACATGATAGCAAGGCTGTTCAACGCTCCACTTGAAGAATCAGAGGCGGCTGTCGGAGTTGGAACAGTAGGCTCGTCTGAGGCCATAATGCTAGCCGGGCTTGCCTTCAAGAGGCAGTGGCAGAACAAGCGAAAGGCTCAAGGTTTACCTTATGACAAGCCCAACATTGTCACTGGCGCCAACGTTCAGGTTGAATGATTCAACAACTTGAGCAAGTTGAATGATGCACACAGCTTGACAGCTACAAGTATCCTGTACATTTGAAGCCTAATGCCTTTCTTCTGTCTTTGTTTTGTTTAGGTGTGTTGGGAAAAATTTGCAAGGTACTTTGAAGTAGAACTGAAAGAAGTGAAGCTAAGTGAAGGATATTATGTGATGGACCCTGTGAAGGCTGTGGAAATGGTGGATGAGAACACCATCTGTGTCGCTGCCATTCTCGGTTCTACTCTCAATGGAGAGTTTGAAGATGTTAAGCTATTGAATGATCTTTTGCTAGAAAAGAACAAGAAAACTGGGTATACACCTTCACTTTCTAGCTATTTTTTCATGCTCAGTCACATTATAACAACTACTCCCTCCGTCCCAGTTTTATAGTCCACTTTGAAATCCGTGACTACGGAATTCAAAGTAGACTTTAGAAGGTTATATATCAAGTATCATATGCAGAGCCACAAAAAATGTAATACATGAACTAACCATAGAGTTTGCAGGTGGGATACTCCGATACATGTGGATGCAGCGAGCGGTGGATTTATTGCACCCTTCCTCTACCCAGAGCTAGAATGGGACTTCAGGCTTCCCCTGGTGAAGAGCATAAATGTAAGTGGTCATAAATATGGCCTTGTTTACGCTGGCATCGGTTGGGCTATCTGGCGGAGCAAGGAAGACTTGCCTGAAGAGCTCATCTTCCATATCAACTACCTAGGAGCAGACCAGCCTACATTCACTCTCAACTTCTCCAAAGGTAATTTTCACTAATCATGATTCCAAAACGTGTTATTCTCCTTCAGTTTGTTCCGGCTCAATTTTTTTGGTTAGACTCACTAGATGATATGGTAACGAATATGCAGGATCAAGTCAAGTCATTGCTCAATATTATCAGCTTATTCGCCTTGGCTTTGAGGGGTATCAAAATGTGATGAAGAACTGCCAAGAAAATGCAATGGTTTTAAAGGCTGGCCTAGAAAAGACGGGGCGATTCACCATTGCATCTAAAGACAATGGTGTCCCTCTAGTGGCCTTCTCTCTTAAGGACAACACCCTCCACAATGAGTTTGAGGTTTCAGAGATGCTAAGGAGATTTGGATGGATAGTTCCAGCGTACACCATGCCAGCAGATGCACAGCATGTGACAGTGCTGCGTGTTGTAGTTCGGGAAGATTTCTCCCGAACTCTCGCTGAGCGACTTGTGCTCGACATCACAAAGGTGCTCAACGAGCTTGATCACCTCCCTTCCAAGAATAGTCAAGGTCAAAGCCATCATGATATGGGGAAGAATGGAATTATCAAAGTGCCTAAGAAAAGTGCACTTGAGACACAAAGGGAGATTACTGATGTATGGAAGAAGTTTGTCATGGCCAGGAAATCAAGCAAAGTCTGCTAGATATTTTCTTTTCTATTTCCAGAGAATAGTATTATGATGATTTCAAGTCTGTTTTTTAGTTTTTTTATTACTACAATAATTTTTTTTACAGAAATGTACCAGATAAGGGGTATTAATATTAATTTGACTTAACTTTCTTTCTCTGTAAGGTACAGTAGTATTTTCATTCATATCCAAAAAAAAAAAAAATGAAAAAGCAATATAGAGTATTTCTTTCCCTTACTCAATGAACTTATCTATTACATCCAATGAAAGGGGAAACAAATGCAGGGATAATACGAACGGAGTACATTAAAAGCCAGGGAAAATGAGAGTGAGGGATAGCTCAAGTGGTTAGAGCTTCCCTCCCGATTCTAGGAGGTCCTAGGATCGATTCTCACCCCCGCTCTTGTGGCTCTCTAAACACCCAAAAAAAAAAGCCAGAAAAATTAGCAGTTTAGGAAAAAGAAAAAAGAAAAAAAATGCATCAAATGATTGACACCACAACAGATATAACAGCTTACATTAGCAAGTATTTCATTATGTACAGAAACACTGAAACCAGACATCATATTTACAAGTTACACATTGGTTGCTAGAAGTTGTACATGCCAAACGTTAAAATAAATTGGCAACTTCTACTTAATGAAACAGGCAAAGAGGGGGGAAGAAGGAACAATGGACTACGCGTAAGGTAGAGAGATACCTTTATAGAGGTTAAAAAAATATATACATGTGTTGGATATAAATTTGTATGAAAGTCATAAAAGTCTCATAGCACCTTCAACATTAAAAGCCTCTGAACTTCTGAAGCGGATGATGCACCCTCCACAATCTAACAAGGAGAAGAAATACACGAAAATGTAAACAGACAAAAATAGACTGCCATAAAATTAATCAAAGGAGATGCAAATATTCCAGTAAAATGACAAGTCAATATCCAAGAAAATACAGTATGAGTAGATATGAATGTTCAGCTAGATTTGGATGTCAGACCTCAAAACCGGCTTTAGAGTATAATTCTTGAGCAGCCTTGTTGTCTAAATTAACATGAACAAACAGTTGCTTCATACCTAGAAAAACAAGAAACAATATATCAATAAAGTAGAGAAAACAGGCATAAGTGTCTCCAAGAAGAAATTGACAAGATTACCTGATGCGATAGCAACATCACTGGCCAAATAGAGCAAATTTGAAGCAATTCCCTGACGTCGAGCAAACTTTGAAACACAAACATTAGCGACATACGCATACTTGTGTGCATCAAAGGGCACCTGACTTGCCAAGATTCCAGATGACCTCTTCGTCTCCTGAAATAATAAGGTGGATAAGAGATAATAGAAGAGAACTGTGGGGTTTATATTGTACCACCATATTGAACTTGAAAAGACCTACCCCTGGATATGTTTCTCCTTGCAAAAATTGTCGTATGCTTACATCTAGAGTTCCAACAACACTGTTAAGCACAGTTCTCCTGAAATTTTTCTCCTCCCTTTTCACCTAAATTGCAAAAAAAAAAAAAAATAAATAAATAAATAAATAAGTGCAGAGCAAGAATACATGTATAGAGGCAGCATTATACATCATATCCCATTAGAGAGAGAGAAACAGTCTACTAAATTCCATAATAACCAGAAATATTAATATAGAAGGAATAGGATGTAAACAGAGAAAAATATAAGATCAGCTTCCTCTTCAAAAATTAGGTATATATTGCCCAGGTGTGCCACCCCAAAGATTAAGTGAGATAGCATGGAGTAAGTCCTAACCCATGAAACTGGCCAAGGTCTGGAACTTCTCAACGTCTCTAATACTGTATTGGGTTAATAACAATGGAACATTTAACGAAATCTATCCCAAGTTAACAACTGACTGCATATTTGCAGAACATACCAAGAAATACCCCAGTGCAGAGAGAGAATTAAAATGAGTGAATGACATAAGATTATGCTAGAAAAATAGTTCAATAATATGTTGTTTCAATGTTTTAAAGTTAATAATTTCTCATAAATTACATCGAGATACTAGTGTATTCAAAAGAGTTCGAACAAAATCCTCTCAAGAGAAGAACAAGGGCATGACTAGTGTCAAAAACTTCGAAGAGCTCTATTAGGCCCTATTATATGCAATTAACTAACTGTTTTTTTATCCTCTGTTGCTTCCATACACCATCAAAATACTTTCTGCTATATCCCTTAAAAAGATAAACAGCAGGCTCGGCAGCCCCCAACCCGGGGGGGGGGGTCAATTGTGAGCAAGGTTCCTCTTAGCCTATCCATCTTTGATTTGAAAGTAGCTCATTTCATACCTATTTCTAAGCAAGAAAGTAGCAGACAAATTGAAGATTACAGCCAAAACCTTAAGTGGATCACAACTTGGTAAAAAATTGGACTAATATGGAATAATGGACCTACCATTACTGCATATAACCAGTCAAAACACATACTAATGGTAGACTCACATAAAGGTTGAACTTGATTCAATCCAGTGTAAGTGACTAAGTGTGTAACTAGGCTTCCTAGTCATGAATTACTTGAAATGGCTTCAGTAAAATATACACATACATGACATAAATCTTCAAAGGGCAATATAACATACCAGTAGAGACAATCTACTAATAATTATATAGAATAAATTAAGAGCTTATTACGTACTGCAACTAGACAGAAGCACTTTAGGGCGTTCCCATCTTGTCCAGAGCATCGCCTTTTCAGTGCATAGAATTCCTGTAATATGAGACCAAAAAAAACCCGAGTCATTTCCATTCATGGCAGAAAAATAATATGCCAAATAGATGCTACCATCAAAATGTCTGCGATTCAAATTTCCCCTGTAGCTTTTGCACGTAACTCGTGGAAATAGGCCAGAATCCCAAACATGAACAAGCAGCAGACTATCTAGCAACAAAGTTCTCCCTAAAAAGAATACAGTGGCTCAAATGTATACATGCAACCTAAATCCATCTAAATTTAAGTGTATTAGGGAAAAACTTTATGTGTGATTTGGCAAGCGAAGTAACATCCTAATGTCTGTAGTAATGCAATCTCATCTCTAAACTTCCTTATTAATGTCTGTTACAACCAAATAGGCAAATACTAGCCCCAAAATGGTAATGGATTATAATGAAAGTTTGTGAATAAAGAGATAATGTGGAGTAAACTTGCATTACCATTGGAATGGACATTGATTTTACTTACAAACTAAATTATATACTCATCCTCATTACCACCTTTTATAACAACTTACCATACTGGCCATAAAATTAAGCGACTAGAAACACACTCATCCATTACTTCCAAATGCAAATTAATGTTTGCACCAAACAAAAATGCAAATTAACGTCGGCACCTTAAAAGTTAAAAATATTCTCATTCCTCTAGAGTGATCCCTGTTCACTAAGCACCTGAGTATATATAAAACACCCATAGTTCCTCATGCTTAAGCCAACTTCAGAAAAATTAGAGGCATTTTAACTTCTGATTATAACCCATCCCAAAATTTCAAGTTGATCTTGATTAGGCAATACAGTTCCTTTGTTACATTCAATCAAATTATCAAAATCTTCCCCAGAAAACTCACCTGCTCTGCATACTTTCTTTTGAATGCTTCTATGTGCCTGAAAAAACAGGAATATAACGAAAATTGAGACCAAAAATAATCTAAAGTCACAGACGGAAGCAGAATCTTGGCGAGAGAGAGAGAGAGAGAGGCAGAGGTACACCAAATGCATATCCTCTATGAAAAGATGGCTTACGAGGTTCATATTGGATATAGAAACTAACCGCATGTATGATACAGATTCCCAATGAGCTTCTGCACGCAACCATGCTGCTGTCTGCCATTACAGATAGAGGAAAATTGCACATCTAAATTAAAGGCTCAATAACCCAATTTATGATATTCTAAGGGGAAAAAGAAAACAAAACAAACCCAGTATTCTTCATCAAGAGCAGCTTCACGGGCCAGAAATCGACCAAATTTATGCCTATGTAATCCATCACACTCCTTGTCACAAGGCTGCAACCTGTTGAAATAAAGCTCAGGTGGCCTCTGACTGTCACTAGTCGACACAGCAGATTGCTGTAAACTCTGACTGTTATTGCAATGTACTTCTAATGATTTCCATCTTGAACATGAATTAGGAAAGTTTTCTCTGACACGAAATAGATGACATTCACATCAGATATACAATCCCCAATAACACTCGTAAGAAAGATCAATTAAAAACCCAAGAGAAAAAGTCAGCATTCTCTTTTTACAGTTTCCAGGATCAGAGAAACCGGGAAATTATCGATTCCCTTTAAAAAAAGGTTAAGAAGGGAATGAAATCCTTGATGATAAAAAACTCACTATCCGCATTGTAATCGTAATCTTCAAAAGCCAAGTTACAATGAACACTCTTAGAGTTTGGACTACCAAGGCATCTAAATCCTAATGAGTTGGAGCTTGGGCAATAGGCTACTAATGAGCTAAAATAAGGAACATCTTCTAATGGATTCTCTTTAATCACTTGCTTTATCTGTCTACCGATATTATTGAAGTCTTCGAGTTTTATGCAATTTATTTCTCATTGCAATTTGCAATATGACAAGTCTCAATTCAAAAGCTCTACCACAAGTATAATTAGGCTTAGGGGTTATCAGCATAAAATGTAAATTACATCAAGGATCAAACTAAACAGGCAGCACTTCATCGAAATCGACATACTAGGACACAGACAGGCATAAATTCCATCCCTACTGAGCTAATTACATCACTCTAAATAAATGATATTCACTAGTCAGCAACTAATCAATAGCAATGTGATGGCATAATTATCACAAAAATGACATTCAACATTCTCATCAATCATAGCATCCAATTAAAACTTTACCAAATTTCAATTAGGATACACAATTCCGAAATCCCCTTTTCACTAAATATTTTCCTATCTATCACATAAATTCATACAGAAATCCAAATTAAGCAAAAAAATCAATTAGTGCTAAACAAAATTCAATACCTTCCCCATTATAATCATAAAACTAAATGCAATTACTCAAATCAAAATCATAATCAGTTAAAACTACTCGACATGATAAATTAAAAATCAAACCCCACAAAAATTACCTAAAAATAAAACTTACCCAATAGTTGAGGGGATTCTAAGAATGCCAATATGGGTATTATTGGGTCTAGTAATAGGAGGAATTTCCGCTCGAAGTTTGTGAAAAATAGAACCTTGAAATTCTACTTCCATTTCTCTCTCTAAAAAATTGCAGTAGTATGACTAAAAAATTCAGAAAACTTTGGCTGATTTTGTGTCCCATTTATAAAAGTTGAGATGGATAATGGTTGTGCATCAGCATGATATGGGCAAACAAAATGGATTTATTGATTTAGATTTGCATTTGGATAAGGGAAGAATGACAAAAAGGATTTATCTTGTTTGGGTAAATTTTACTATTTTAGAGGTCCTTTGGTTCGCAAGGGGTAATCGGAATGGAATGAACAAAGGGAAAGACAAGGAATGGAATGAAAATACCTAAAATTTTCTATGTTGTTTGGCCTTAAAAACAAGTGAAACGCTAAACATCGCCCGCAATTTACCATATAAAGCCCACAAATATGATATGATTTGACCATTATGCCCTTTTTCTAAAATTGAAATAATCCCGGTGTAAAAAAATGTGGAGCCGTACTAGCTCGCCGGGGGAGACCGGAGGGCAGGCCGGAGATGCGGGGGACGCCGGAGGTACGTCGTCGTCGACGGAAAACGAGGTAAGTCACCGTTAAAATTCACGGTACCGTCGAAGTGGCTCCGGCGCCTAGGGTGGACGCCCAAACCGTAGCCTGGACGTCCAAGCCAGACGCAAGAACCACCAGAGTGGCGTCCAGCCCAGACGCCCAGACCACCAAACTGGCGTCCTGGGCAGACGCCACTCCACTGGGTGAGGCGGCCCTGCCAGGCGCCAGTCCAGTGGCTGTGGCAGCCCTGGCAGACGCCACCTTTAATAATTAATTTTTTTTTTCTTTTTTGATTTTGTTGTTGTTTTTTATTTAATTTTTTTGTAAAAAAAAATCGAAAATGATTTTTTTAAAAAAATCGAAATGGGTTTTTTGTAAATTAAATTTGAAAATTCGAAATAGGTTTTTTTTAAATTAAATTTGAAAATTCGAAATGGTATATTTTTAAATTTAGTTTGAAAATTCGAATTGGGTTTTTATAAAAATTAAGTTTGATTATATATAATTATGTTTTTTTTTTGTGTTAATTCTGTGTAAATATAGAAATTAAATGTATTATCCGTTAAATGTATTTATTGTAATATATAATTGATGCAGGAATATGGTGGAGACGGAAATGATTACAATGGGATATTTGGACATGATGGTCCATTCGAAGAAGCTCAACAGGCGATTGATTGGGCAAAACAGGTTGCAATTGCAGCTGGATTTTGCTTGGTAGTAGCAACTCATAAATCTCAACGGGATGGTAGAATGGATCGCATTTTGAGATGTGACCGTTATCGCAAAAGAGAAGAAAGAGATTTTCGTACAGCCACTCGGTTTGACACAAAGCGGAAAGGTTGTGGGTGTGAGCTCAGAGTAAAGGTTCGACAACTACGGAGTCGTGACGGTTGGGAAGTGATAGGTTACTCTAAATGGGGGTATCACAACCATGAGATGATAGTATATGAAGAGGGTCATCGACAACTGAGCGGCTTAAGTCCTGCTGCGAAACTAGTTGTGAAAGAAATGAGTGATGCTCAAGTGAAGCCTGCTAAAATATTAGCATCTGTGTTAGAGAAATTTCCAGAAGACCATCCAAACCGAAGACACATCTACAACGTCAGACAGCAACTCAGGTTTGAACGGTCAGAGGGAAGGAACCCTATACAGCAGCTGCTACACCAGGCACAATCACGTGGTTACCTGTTCTGGTTTGATTCTGATGAAGATACAGCGGAGGTGACTCATATTTTCCTTGTGCATCCTGATTGTGCTGATATGATCAAGTCTTGGCCATTTGTGATTTTGATCGACTCAACGTACAAGACAAACAAGTACAAGTTCCCTCTGGTTGAGATGGTTGGGATGGCTCCAACGAACCAGAACTTTCTGATTGGTCATGCAATCATCAGGGATGAGACGGCTCCAAGTTATTATTGGGTGTTGGAGAAGCTGAGAAACTACATCGGGCCTAATGTTCATCCAGCAGCCATCGTCAGCGACTGTGAGGGAGGTCTCTTTGCCCCCATAGCAGAGCTGTTTCCCAAATCGAACCACTTATTGTGCACATGGCACATCAACAACTGCGTGAAAGTGAAAGCCTACAACCTTTTCAAGAAGAATTTGGAAATGGCAGAGATATTGGTGAATGGTAAGTGGCGGAAGATCCTACAGGCTACCACAGAGGAAGCGTATGAGCGAGCATTGGCTAACTTCAGGGATTCGTACCAGTGGTGTCCGGCACTGGTGGACTATGTGATGCATCAATGGGTCCCTCACAGGGAAAAGTTTGTCAAATATTGGACAAACTAGGTACTTCATTTTGGCAACACTACAACATGTAGAGTTGAGAGCGCTCATAGAGCTACCAAGGACTGGATTGATTCATCGACCGCTGCTTTGGATACACTGTTCGCTAGACTTGGATGTACAGCGAAATTGCCTCTAACCGAAATGTTTATCGTCATGTGTACCAGGATGACTTGGATGGCGCTCTGCGGCGTATCCGGTGGGGAGGTGGACCTTGCGGCGAAAATCATTATTTTGACGCGCCCCTAGATCTGTTTGCTGTTGCAAACATTTACAAATGCGCAGTCATGCATTTCGGCCTGGGAGTGCATAGTCAAGCTTATTATCCTTGTACCACGGTTCTCCCTTGGCGGTCGCGTGAGACTGTCACCACACCGGTCAGAGAGCTAGCTATTGCGTTTCTTGGGTCGTCATACAGACATTTCATTCGACTAGACATGTCAACCGATTTTCCGGTGCCACCGATTATACCTCGGTGGTACAACATTCGCACAGCGAGCGTAGAGGGTTGGGATGCGCTATATAATGACCGGATCCACGAATGGAACACCCTAGCTGCATTTTAGTTTTTCATGTTTACATTCTTTATTTGTAATCTTATTTGTACGTTGCTCTTTTAATGAGAACATTAATATTTTATATTGTATTGCTTACTGCATTCTATATGTTGCATGGGTAAGTTGCGCGGATCCACGAACGGTTATATCAAACTTTAAAAACAGCACTGATAATATGTTTAAGTTGGAAGCTAAAAGAACAATCTAAAATGTTACAATTTTACAACATAATGTCCAACATAATGCTCTATAAATAAAATACAATAACCATCAGTAATCCCTCCTCGACGACGACTCCCACTGCGCAAGGGTCTGTTCCAGACTATCAACAACAGCTCTCCCTGTTGCACTCATGCTGTCCTTCTCAAGAGAGAGTTTTTGTACGTCCTGCATTATCTTTCCCATCCACTGCATACAACAAAAAACAGAAGATGAAATACAATAACAACAAATAAAACTTAATTAAAAGACAACGATAAATATAATAAAAGACATACCGCTTCCGTGGCAGTAGGCGGTGGCACATAATCATCATCGCTGTGGTCGAGATCAGCGAACAACCTCGGGTGCGAATACCGGTTGAACCATTCCATGTAGTAATGGTCACACATGGGAGTAACCCCAGAGGGCGGCCGCTGCAACTCCGCAGTCCATAAGCGGGCCACCATCGGAAGCTGGTCCCACGTCCCGGTCATGATATCCGGACATTCCACGACGTAGTCCCTCGACGATGCAGGTCGGACCGCCTTCATCGGGCACGCCGGGGGAGGAGGGATAACTTGGACAAATCCAAGCTGGCGAAGACAACGCTGGGGCATGTACGCCTCGACGATGTCACGATACTGAATGAGTCCCGTGTACAGGGTCCTGGGTACCCTAACACTAGGGTTCGGGCCGAAAGGCATCCAGTTCACCTGTACAATAACAACATATAAAATTTAATAACATGAATATAATATGTGCAAATAATAAAATGTAGACTCTATAAATAAACGTTACCTCTAAGGGGGACAGCCTGTCCAGCAATAACCGTATCGATCGGAGGCGGTCAACGGACTTCTTCTCCGAGCGCGGACTCCACGCACAAGCACGCGGCATCCCCTCATCAATAGGAACTGGGTCACGATGTGGTCGCAATGCAGGAAAGTACTCGTATATCCAGGTCTGCAATAGAGTCAGACACCCAGTGATACCTGCCGCGTCAGCCCGACTCGCAAATCCTAGTTGGCGATACAAATACGCCAACGTAGCCGATCCCCAGGAAAACTGGCCTACACTGTCGGGGTCACACGCCTCTACGATGTCGCGTGGCCTGAGCTTGTTTCCGCCGCTCTTATCCGGAAACAAGGTACATCCGAGGAGTAGAAAAACATAAGCACTCAGCTGTGCGTCGGGCGTCCTACGTGCACTCGGGTACAAACACCGCTGCAACACGGATGCGATCTTCACACCTCCGTGTTCCCAAACACCTAGCGCCTCGGTGTACAGTGCAGCCCTGTCCACCGCCAACAACTCCGCCAGCGAATCTGCCTGATCCGCATCAGCCACAGCACAAAGTCGTTTACCCTCAACACGAATCCCCAGAATGGCCTCGACGTCATGTAACATGATCGTCATCTCACCGAACGGAAGGTGGAAAGAGTTTGTATCCGGCTGCCATCGCTCAATGAAAGCCGTGATCAGCGTACTGTCAATCTTATCGTGCATGGTGGCAGGAACGTGCTTCACCCCAGTGCCCTCCAGTCGCTCGAACATCTCGCTCTCCGCCGGCCAGGCCTCAGCCCATGTACGCAAAAAGCTACAAGTCTTTTCTCGGGTATGACATTTCAACAACCCCGTAACTGAAGGCCTCTCCTGGTCCTCCCAAATACGGGCAGCTATGTGTCCTAGAAAGCTAGGAATCACACTCCCGTCAACAGGCCCACCGGGCACCTCACTCCTAACAACCCAAGAATCATTACCGGCCCTCGACCGTTTCCTGCTTGCCCCAGATACAGTGGACGCAGATGATGTGCCAGATCTACTAACAAACCTACCACCCCTACCCTTACGCACCTCCACCATATGCGTCTCGTACATGTCATCAACCCTCTGACTGAATGGACCGTAATCATCATACGGTCCACTGCCATCGTCCACATCCTCATCCTCATCTGCGCCCTCCTCCTGCTCCTCCTCCTGGTCACCCTCCTCAGCATCATCATCGTCATCCTCATCCCGACGGTGGATCCGTTCTCTACGAACTGCGGCCGAAATACCACGGGATCTGACATGTCTATGCCCCGACCTCTCCACTGAATAACTTCTACTAAGAAGCTCTATATTCTTCCCCGCACCATGACGACCCAGTGAATTCTACACAAAATTTTAAAATATATAAACATACAAAAATTTATACGATAAATAATCATCATCGCAAATCAAATAAACTAAAAACATACAAATAATTGTAAACAAAATATAAACGTAGAAAAA